AGGGCATGAGAGCAGGCTCGCCACTAGGACAGGTCGGCAGAGGAACTGGGCAGCATCCACCATTGTAGCAAGTATAGGACTGTGGACATTCGTTGGAAGTTGTGCAAGGGGAAACGGCTACCTGACCGTTACTGCATAGCGGTAGTGGGCAGCAGCCTCCAGAGCTGCTGCAGTAGTAGCCTGTAGGACAAGACTGTGAGACGACGCACGACTGTATCGATGGTTGACCACTAGGACACATCGGAACTGGGCAGCAGCCGCCGTTGATACATTGATAGCCCTGCGGACATGATGTCGCGCCATAACTGGAACATAGCTGTATCGCCGGCTGGCCGTTCGGACAAGTTGGAATTGGCACGGGGCAGCATCCTCCGTTAATGCACTGGTATCCGGTTGGGCATCCGCCTTGACCAGGTCCGTAGCAGGTCGACACGGCTGGCTGACCGTTCGGGCATGTCGGAATGTACGGCTGAGGGCAGCACACTCCGTTCGTACAAACGTACCCGGCTGGGCACGCAAGACCCATCGCACAGGTCTGTACTCCTGGTGAGCCATCGGGACATAGCACTGTTAAGTAGGAACGTTACACGCATCATACGCATCGATTACTTCAGTGTCGTTACTTGGAGTCGGTTGTGGCACTGGTCCAGGAACGATAATGATTGGAGAACAGCAGACTTGGTTTATGCATGAGCATGTGGACGGACAATAGTTAGACTGGCCACAGGGGGCGATGGGCAATTGGTTTGATCCACAGCTTCCTACACGATAAAATACAAAGCTATAGTATTGGCTTGACGTGGTCTGTACTGTCCGTGTTTACCTTGGAGGCTGATCGTAATGCAAATTTGCAGACTGACCTAAAATCGAAAAAAAAATAAGTGTTTAACGGTACATTTTGGAAGGGGGACAAAAATGACCACCGAACCTGAAACACCGTTCCTGGTGGGCACTGTACGGGCGACCACGTTCCGCACGAACTGCTAAAAAATATTAGCGTTATTGAAATGTGGCAAATCTCAGAACTGCACATGACATACCATTACAGCTCAACGTCAAGAGTTTTATGTATGACTGTTCGGATGAACCGAACCAGAACCATATTTCAAAATTTACGTGACTCATCTCTTCAACACTGTCAGACAAATTAGTAAATGCAGAAAATTACCAAACAGTCACATCTCCACTTATCAGTTCCTCACCATTTAATGGGACTTATTAGATCTAAGAGTAAATTTAAACACTAGTTGAATATGGAGGTCAGAAATAATATGCTGGTTCGCTGAAGGACCAGATACCACTCTGAAATTCCAATATGTTTTATTATTTAATTAATTCGATCAATACGAAATATTTCGCCAATTTCAGTAACTTTATATATCATAATGGGGTACCAGCTCAATGACACTCATTTTGCATGAAATATGAACTTTATTTCCTTTAGAAAAATTAATCAATGCTTCACGAGATGTTAATTTTAGTTCATTTGCTCTGTTTCTCAAAACTGTTCTGCTTCCTTTCCACGCAATATTATGATCAACCATCGGCGAACAGAATAAACCCTGTTCATCGACCCACATGGTCACAAGTGTCGCCAGCTTTAGCGTGATCATCATGCAAATGAATCTCACTGCTCCGCATGATTCTCAGGTCACTATCAGGGGGAGGTTTGCATGTTTGACAAAAAAACTAGTAGTACGGTAGCAGCACCAGAAGTGAAACGTATTTCACTAACAAAATTCATCCTTTGAAAGATATAAATAGTAGATTTAGGGTAATGTGCATATTTTTTTTCCAAGCAAATTTGAAATGGAAAAATGAAAATCCATCCCCCAGATTGGGTGCTATCTGAAGATGCTACATGTCGATATTCGTCTTGCGATAGAATAATAATGATGGCGAAGTTTTTGATTCCGTATTAACTTATCAAGTAAATAAATAATAATTCTTTTAATTAAATAGGCACAGATAACCTCAGTATTCAGTTCGAATTACGGTTACCGGTGCCTTTGGAAAACTATTTCGTTGTACAAACCGCGAATGTTTCGTCTATAGTTTCCCTCTGGAGAGAAGAAGATTAGGGTGATGTTAAAATGGCTCCTTGTTCAACCCGACTAAGAAACTTCGTCTTGCTTCGAACTCACTGCAGGCGATACAACGGAGACGCGGCCTGCTTAAATGGTCTCCCAATGCAACATGCAACAATACACAGAGTAAATCCGGTATCAGACATTGCAATATTAATGCCTTAGATTTGCAAAGTCTGATTTAAAAGAATGCCAATAAACTCCATTAGTGTTTCCCTTAAAAACACATATGCTACGTCGA